TGTCACAAAAAACATTCATGAAGTTTGGTTCTTTAATGTCTTTATTATGGGTTAACAGAGAAAAGTGATCACATTTGCTGGGTCACAAATATACATACAGCAACATGAACCTGCAATTTTGGTGACTTAGAAACGTGTCAGTGAACTGAGCTTCATAGCATGGCCTCTTAACTTCTTGTGAGTGATTATGAGTGACTACAGCTGGTGACTTCTCTTAGGCCAGGTAAATAGAGCTCATTGGATACAAACGCCCACAAACGCTACAATGGAAAAGTCAAAGGAGCTCATCATGGATCTGAAAAAGAGAATTATTGACTTGAACAAGTCAGGAAAGTCACTTGGGGCCATTTCAAAGCAGCTGCAGGTCCCAAGAGCAACAGTGCAAACAGTTGTTTGTAAGTATAAGGTGCATGGCACTGTTTCATCACTGCCAAGATCAGGAAGAAAACGCAAGCTATCACCTGCTGCTGAGAGAAAATTGGTCAGGAGGGTAAAGAGTGAACCAAGAATCACCAAAAAGCAGATTTGCCAAGAATTAGAAGCTGCTGGAACACAGGTGTCATTGTCCAGTCAAACGTGTTTTGCATCTCCATGGACTGAGAGGCTGCCGTGCAAGAAGGAAGCCCTTGCTCCAAAAGCGGCACCTTAAGGCTCGACTGAAGTTTGCTGCTGATCACATGGACAAAGATAAGACCTTCTGGAGGAAAGTTCTGTGGTCAGACGAAACAAAAATCGAGCTTTTTGGCCACATTGCCCAGCAATATGTTTGGAGGAGAAAAGGTGAGGCCTTTAACCCCAAGAACACCATGCCTACAGTCAAGCATGGTGGTGGGAATATTATGCTGTGGGGCTGTTTTGCTGCCAATGGAACTGGTGCTTTACAGAGAGTAAATGGGATAATGAAGAAGGAGGATTACCTTCACATTCTTCAACATAACCTAAAATCATCAGCACGAAGGTTGGGTCTTGGGCGCAGTTGGGTGTTCCAACAGGACAATGACCCCAAACACACATCAAAAGTGGTAAAGGAATGGCTAAATCAGGCTAGAATAAGGGTTTTAGAATGGCCTTCCCAAAGTCCTGACTTAAACCCCATTGAAAACATGTGGACAGTGCTGAAGAAACAAGTCCATGTCAGAAAGCCATCAAATTTAACTGAACTTCACCAATTCTGTCAAGAGGAGTGGTCAAAGATTCAACCAGAAGCTTGACAGAAGCTTGTGGATTAGGGCTGTCGCGGTTGAGGAATTCCCCCTGCGGTGATTCAGGGTGGCTTAATATTGCGGTGTGCGATATTATTGCAGCCCTTTTTTTTATTGCAGTACTATCTAAACATAATGTTTACACATTTAAAAAAGGTTAAAAATTGCCGTGCCTTCTTTTATAACACTTTACTGAATGCAGATCAAAGCGCAGTAACAACACAGATCGCAGTAACGTTTGTTTCTCCGACAGTCGGAGTCCGACTGAACTTAAAAACAACAAAATTCAGGAGAAGGTTAAACTTTTAAATGCAAATTTGGCTGCAGCATCTAACAAATAAGAAACAAGTCCCCATTTTGTTTAGTTGTTTAAAATCAAGCATAAAAAATTACATGTACCGGGCGCGCGCGGGGCGGGGGGTTGGGGCGCACTATCATTTCACTTTCACACACACACGAATGACGGTGATTTATAGCTCGGTCACGTCCTTGTTACCCACAAGCAAAACCAGCATGTTAACCATATACGGTTTGAGAGAGGATCTGAGAGGGGTGGCAACATTTCCAGCAACACTGAAAACCCTCTCGGATGGTGCGCTCGTTGCACTAACGCACACGTACTTGCGTGCGACTCTGGCGAGCAAAGGGAATCTCTCCCGGTTGTTGCTCCACCATGTCAGGGAGTTTTCTTTAGGGTGGATGCATTCCTCCTGCAGGTAGTGAGTGAGCTCCAGCTCGGCTCCAACTCTCTTCAGGACGGTTGCAGAAGCAGTGCTTGTGCGGGACTTCAGCAGGTCTCCGAGCGTTTATTTATTTATTTATTTATTTTGCCGCTGGTGGCAGCTCTGTCTCGGCCAAGGACTCTGGCTGCGCAGCAGCTGACGTACTGAAAACCAAAGTGCTCCCAAAGGAGCGAAGTAACGTTTCGTTTTGATACCAGTGCAGCCATCCTTCTCAACATGCATCAATGAGTTGAACCAAGTTCAGTAATCGCGGTGGCCCATGATGCAGCGCGGTGGGTTTCTTCATATTGCGATATTTCATTTTTGCGGTTACCGCGACAGCCCTATTGTGGATGGCTACCAAAAGCGCCTAATTGAAGTGAAAATGGCTAAGGGACATGTAACCAAATATTAGCACTGCTGTATGTATATTTGTGACCCAGCAAACGTGATCACTTTTCTCTGTTAACCCATAATAAAGACATTAAAGAACCAAACTTCATGAATGTTTTTTGTGACAAAGAAGTATCTGTTCCAATCACTCTATCAGAGAAAAATCAGAGTTTTAGAAATAACGGGACACTCAGTAGAGCCATTATATTATATTTTTTACAAGTGTATGTAAACTTCTGACCACAACTGTATGTAAGGGAAACGCTGGTTGTGTGTTGTTTTTCTCTTTCTGCAGGTCTAGAAGCAGACTCTTGTTCATCACTGACTGTTTATTTTTGTGCGCCCCCCCCCCCCCCGGTCTCTTCCTTTCTTTTTGACCTCTGTCCACGTGTCTGGACGGAATTATAAAGCATCCAAAAAAAGAACAATAAAGTTTTAAGTAAGTATCAGGCGTGACAGTAAAGCAGAAGCGTTGATGCTCCACCTGAGAGTAAATCTGTAAGGCTTGTCACCAGCATTCAGACATCAATTCTGTTTGCTTCACAGCCAGACAGGACATGGGGAAAAAACCAGCACAGTGCAGATACAGCCACGTGTCCTCCACTGCTGCAGCACAGACCCCCCCCCCCCCCACACACACACACACACACACACACACACAGTGTCTGTAAAGTTAGTTAAATAATGAACAGCGAAGCATAGAGGTCCCCCAGGTAGCGAAGACCAATGGCGAAGCTCAGGAGAGGAGTAGAGCAGACACAAGCACTTGAGGGTAGACACACGAAGATGGCGCCTGATGCAAAACAACAAACAAAAATAAACCTGGCACTGTGAGTACCTGCATGTACTGTGAAGTGAAGAAATGGATGCAATACACTACGTGTGCTGGAAAATGTGGTGCTAACAGAATAAAGTAATAAAACCCAATACTGCGTATGGGAGAAATCACTGCACTAAGTAAAATTTCTTTATCAAAATGAAGGTCAAAAATGGATGTAGCCCATAGAGGTAAATTAACAAAGTTAATCATAAAGTAATCACTTAATTACTGTAGTAAAATTCTATAAAAAGATAGATATGTGAGTGTCAAAGAGCACTAAAAATGTTAATCAGTGAAGTTAGTAATCAACCTACAGGTGAATGTACCCACAACGAATTAAGATTAGTGAATAACTGAAGCATAAAAATTGAACTGAAATCAGTTATCAAAAGATTAAACTTCAAAAGTTATCAAAATCACTAGAAATTGAAAAATAAAGAAAAACTGAATTTGGATCGACATAACAGGTAGTGGAGTTAGTCACTTTGAACTGTTATGAACTTAAATCACATGATTATGAAAAAGCACAGCACAACCACAGCCAAGATCAACCAAGTCTGCATGATATGTTTAGACATGAAATTCATTCACGCACACACATACACTCAACAGGACTTACGTGACCTGAATCAGAGAACCCAGTGAGAGTGGACGGAAGTTTACCTCCCTTTTGGCACGTTTCGAGTTGGGTAGTCAGCTATATTGGTTGTAATAACATCCAAATGTGTGGAACCTTTGTGGGGTTTGATTTTGTTCTTGCGGACCCATAAATAGATGGGATCTTTGTTGCGTTTGGTGATCCTGATCAGATACACGACCGGAGAGAGTGGTTTAGTTGTCCGGTATGGACCTGACCTTTCCTGCGAAGGGTTATTAACCAGTTTACCAGAGGTGACGTTTGTGTGACCAGAATTAGGAGCAAAATTTAGGTCAGAATGAGAGGCCCTCAGATCATGAGGAGTCATACTGCCCCCTGCTGGTTTCTTCAGACTTGTTTGTGGAAAAGAAAACACAGCATGCAGATTGTCTTAAGGCTCAGCAAAACCCGCTGAGCATGTTCTAACACAAAAGCCCTTAACCGCTTTCAGTTGGTCCAGAACTCTGCAGCGAGGCTCCTAACTGGAGCAAACAGAAGAGCACACATCACTCCTATTCTGATGTCTCTGCACTGGTTACCCGTTAACTTTAGAGTTCATTTTAGAGTCCTGACTAGAACTTTCAGGGCTCTACATGGTCAAGCTCCTCCCTATATTACTGAACTGTTAAAGCCTTTTGCTCCAACCCAAGCCCTCAGGTCTACCCACCAGAACCTTCTAGAAGTCCCAAAGACCAGATAGAAAAGTCGAGGTGATCGCTCCTTCCAGACTGTTGCACCCTGACTTTGGAATGATCTTCCTTTATCCTTACACAGCATTGACAGTCTGGACACTTTAAAAAAACAGCTGAAGACCCTTTTATTTAAAGCTGCTTTTACCTAAATCTTTTTTTTTCTTATTTTTAACTCTGTTAAATCTGTTGTTAATCTATTTCTGTCTTGAGGTCATTATGATTGTATAACTTTGTTTCATTTTGTTTTGATCTATGTGAAGCACTTTGTGATACTATGTCTGTGATAAGTGCTGTATAAATAAAATTTACTTACTAATTTGTATGCGCCAATAGAGGCTGAGGATCTCAGCATACGGGGGTGTAGATATTTGTAGGAGCTGAGAAAGAGGAGTAGGGCCAGGGCCTTTAATGTGGCTGACCCGTAGTCATTTGTAAATGACTGAACTTTATCTGCAGCCAATGAAACTGCTGGTTAACGGGGGTGATGTGACTTGAGATTTGAACCAGTCTGACTGACCTGATATCTGTTAACAGGATTCAGCCCTGTAACACATCCCTTGGCTTCCTGACCGGAGAAACGGCCGTGTGGTGCGACATCAGGATGAACCTGCAGCAGCCTGCTTCTCTCGTGCCCCCTGTCCACCCTGATGTACAGATGAAACCGCTACCCTTCTATGATGTGCTGGATGTTCTGATCAAGCCTTCCAGCCTAGGTCTGATTCTGTTTCCAGAAGGGTGATTTTGGTCCTATATGTTGGCTCTAACCACAGCAGCTTATTGGGTTATTGTGTGTGTGTGTGTGTGTGTGTGTGGGGGGGGGGGGGGGTGTCTCATAACACCATTTATATTAGTTTCATCTAGACTAGAGCTGGGCTGGAATATAGATGGACGTTACCTACCCATATGCGCAGTAGCAACAGTTGCCCAGTTGATGGGGCAGCCTAATTTCTCCAGTTTCATTGATAGTATTATTCATTCCCTGCCATTATTTGTTATTGCTCATTTAAAACTGCAGTCTGAATTCTGAGAGCTGTCAGCAAGTACTAAGTGCTTACCGAGCAAGTATTAAATTAAAATAATAGGAATTACTTGCAAACACAAAGTATTTAAGTTTGGGACGTTGCTCCCGATCCGATTCCAAGTCGTTAAGAATCTGCCGAAACCGAGTCCCTATCCGATTCTTTATAAAGGCGTTAAGAAAAATGGAGAATACACTAGAGTTGTCCTTTAAGTTATTTTTAATCATTCATGTGTTTCTTCTGTATTTGTGTCGTTTCTTTATTGGTGTTGACATAAAACATCACTTGTTGAGGAAGTACATTATTATGAAACATGTTAATATTAAGAATATATATATGGGTAAATTAATTTACCAGATGTGTATTGGTGAAATTCTTCCAATACCATATGATATGTCATGATACAGGGGATGATGCCATGTGTATCACGATACAGGGGATGATGCAATACATATCACAATTCAGGGGACGATACGATATATCTCGATACAGTGGACAATACAATATATCACGATACAGTGGACGATAGGATATATCATGCTACAGGGGACATGGGCTGGGCAAAATGATTATTTTTGTAATCGATTAATCTAGCGATTATTTTTTGATGCATCGATTAATCTAACGATTAATTTGTTAATTTGATTAGATTTTGATTAGATTAAGTTATTGATTATTTCCCAATTATTTGACTTGTATAGCAGTTTGATTATTACTAATTTATGTATCTCAATGAAATAAATGCAAATTTCTTCGTTTGAACACATTTTAATAAAAAAATTTCAAAAATGAAGTTGTTGTAATAGTAGTACAATCTTATGTTAGAGATAACATTTAACAAAAAATTTAATGTTGTGCAAACTATTCATATAAATCAAGGAAAATTTATAACAAAAAATATATAAATAGCAGCAATGGCGTCTTTTAACAAACAAAATCTAACATTCACTTCGCTTTCTGCAAAAAAGTGTTGTTTGTTTTCAAAATAAAATCAATTTTGCCTTTTCTTTTGTTCTTCACAAGTAGTTATGCATTGTTGTTTTAATAAAAAAAAAATCCAAAATAAACTAGTTGTACAATCTTATTTTAGAGGTAGCATTTAACAAGAAATTAAATGTGCAAAACAACAAAAAATAAATAAAATATAAACCGCAGCAATGGCGTCTTTGAACAAAAAAAATAACATCCACTTTGCTCTTTTCAAAAAAAGGGCTCTTTAAAAAATAACATCCATTTTGCTGCCTTCTCTCTCTGTGTGTGTGTGTGTGTGTGCGCGCGTGCGTCCGTCCGTCCGTCCAATCATATTCATCACATGAAGCAGTTATGCATTGGTGGGCTTGCCCTTTTTTTGGTGACGATGTTTCCAGCAACAGAAAAAAGCCTTTCAGAGGGTGTTGGTGCGGCAGGTACAGCCAGATATGATTTGGCTCAAGTAGCCAGTGTGGGGAATCTTGTTGTATTATTCTTCCACCATGTAAGGGGGTCATTATCCCTTGGAATAGGTGCTTCCCCAAAGTACAACAGTACTTCTTTCCTCACTGTCTCATTTTCTCTATCCCCACCCTGGTCAATGTTTTCATTACAATCTTCCTCCTCAGAATCTGTACCCAACAACGTTTCCAACACAGACCTCTTCTTTGTTGGGGGACTTGCTGAGGCTTCCTGCCCCACAGTTGCCTGCTGAAGCTGTGATCTCTGCTCCCTTTTGAGGTCAAGTGCATCCTTCTGTACTCTTACTTGCAGTTTCAGAGCATCCTCTGGAGAAAGGAATTTCAGTTTACGAAAGCGTGGATCGAGGGCAGCAGCAATCAGTGACACATTTTTCCCATCTTCTTGAAATGCAGATACCTCTGGCTGCCACCTTGACATGATTTCCTCTTCTGCACTGTTCTGGAAAATGTTCACTGCAGCAGAATCAAAGGATTTGTTTTGAGTGGATTTCAGAAGACCCTTCAGCAGTGGGGGGAGAACAGAGGCTGTGACATAAGATTGTCCACTAAGAACATTAGTGGCTTGCTCACAAGGCTTGAGCACCTCCTTCATCTCACCCAGAAGAATCCACTGATTATTTTTCAGATCCAGGTACTGTTTCCCACACTGTGTGACTTCTAGATCTGAAAGCGTCGCAACTACTGGCCATCTCTGTTCCAACAGACCTTCAATCATGTAGTATGAACAGTTCCACCTGACAGCTACATCCTGGATTAGTTTATGCTCAGCTGTACCCATCTGTTTTTGCTTCTCCTTAAGCTTGATGCTAGCTGGCTCACTTTTCCTGATGTGCTTTACGAGGCCCCGTGCAGCTGATAGTGCCTTATCAATCTTGGGGTCTTTCAGTACATGGTTTACAACCAGTTGCAGTGTATGCCCAGCACACCGATAGGATACCACTCCAAACTTCTCTTCCAGGATGTGGAGAGCTGCAACCATGTTACTTGCAGTATCATGCACAATGGCAAAGACATTATGCAAGGAAATGTGGAATTTTTCTGCCACCTTCGCCACCCAGGAGGCAAGGTTTTCTGCAGTGTGGCGCTCTTCAACTGGGAGTGTTGTTAATTTGAAGGAGAGAAGATCCCAATTGTCATTAATGAAATGACAAGTTACTCCTAAGTAGGACTCTGTGACTAGACTTGTCCAAGCATCAGTGGTAAAGGAGATTTTGGATGAGGCCTTTTTTAGTTCGTTCCTCAGTTTCTCAACTGAAGTTTGATACTTTCTCTCCATCATGCTTGTAAAATGGCGCCTAGGCGGCAGAGTGTAACCTGGTTGAAAAGTGGTCAGCATTTCTTTGAATCCTTCACCCTCAAGTGGCCTCATGTCTTTCAGAATCATATGGGCCATTCCCATCTGTACCGGGTCGGCCCGGGCCGGGTAGCGTAGGTTGTTTACATATCTGGGTGGCCTGGTATTTTTCCGGGCCAACCAAGGCTCATTCTCAGCCCTCTTCTCGAGGGGGTCTGCTTCAGGCCGACCAGGGCCAACACACCCACTGCTGACAGCAAATTCACACCTTCCATTAGAGCAAGCCTCTGATTGGTGGGAAGAATCAGCCCACATGGGCTTAAGACAAGGATGTGTGGAATCAACCGGGCCAGGCTGGGGCCGACTGGGGCTACCCGGCCCGGGCCGACCCGGTACAGATGGGAATGGCCCAATAGATAGGACGCTCTCAGTAAGTAGAGCCACCTCCTGGGGGGTGCAGGGCGTTCTTTTCTGACAGTAGTCCTCCAGACTTTTCTGTTTGTTCCTGAAAACATAAATCACACAGACAACACACAGATAAATTAAAATAATTACAAAAATATTTATGTAGAAAGCATCAAAATAATAATTTGAAGATCTGTATTTCTGTGTTTTCTCAAAATATTTAATCTATAAGATTTGTTAAAAAAGAGGTTGTTAACACAAAATGCTGCACATTTTTGTAGTCATTAGATGGTGCAACTTAGATCTATAAGATCAACCAGCTGGAGGAGCATGATTCAAACAGGACATAACTTGATAATCAAGAGTCCTTTGTCATTTTGCTTTTGCAAGAACTTCAACAATACTGTAATAATGTCCACGACGGCTACATTTAGCAGGTGGTACATTGTCTTTGTTAACATTTTTACTGCGGCTAATTAGCGCTCTCTCACATTATCAGCTCTCGCCGATTCTCATAATCAGCACGACTCATTTGGCCATCATGAGCCACAAATAAAAACCAACAAAACGGATAACTGCTGCTGCTATATGTTACTACTAAGCAGCTTAAATGAGGGTTAGTGAGTTCCAGGGGTTGAGTGTTTATCTTTGTGTGTGAGTGGGTCTGCTTGTGTGTGTGAGTGAGTGCATGGCTACGTGGGGGCGTTTGGATGTTATAAAACAGCGTTAGTGAAAAAAAAGTTGAAAACTTACGGTGTTTTTTCGTTTGCAGAAGCTGCTCCTGGATGCCTTCGTTTGAGGTGCTGGTGCATAGCTGTCGTGCTTTTATGATAGGCCATTTCCATTTTACACAGCCGGCAAATGAGTGAATCACTTCCTTTTCTGTTAAAATAGTCCCATACTTTTGAACTGCGAGTTCGGGTTGAGTGATTTAAGTCGACTGCCCCGCTCTTGTTGCCACTACTCGCCACTGCCATGTTTGTTTTTGAACGTGATGACGCATCGACGGAAATTATTTGCGTCGACGTATTTTACGTGTCGATGTAATCGATTACGTCGACGCGTCGTCCCAGCCCTACAGGGGACAATACGATGTATCACGATACAGGAGACAATACGATATATCACGATACATGGGACAATACGATATATCACAATACAGGAGACAATACGATATATCACAATACAGGAGACAATACGATATATCATGATACAGGAGACAATACGATATATCATGATACAGGAGACAATACGATATATCACAATACAGGAGACAATACGATATATCACGATACAGGAGACAATACGATATATCACAATACAGGAGACAATACGATATATCACGATACAGGAGACAATACGATATATCACAATACAGGAGACAATACGATATATCACGATACAGGAGACAATACGATATATCACAATACAGGAGACAATACGATATATCATGATACAGGAGACAATACGATATATCACGATACAGGAGACAATACGATATATCACAATACAGGAGACAATACGATATATCATGATACAGGAGACAATACGATATATCACGATACAGGAGACAATACGATATATCACAATACAGGAGACAATACGATATATCATGATACAGGAGACAATACGATATATCATGATACAGGAGACAATACGATATATCACGATACAGGAGACAATACGATATATCACGATACAGGAGACAATACGATATATCACAATACAGGAGACAATACGATATATCACAATACAGGAGACAATACGATATATCACGATACAGGGGATGATAGGGTGTTATTATTAGCAATTATTTAGACCGGATTTATCGTAGGAATAAACAGTCCAAACTGATACGTAACATGTTTAACATGAGGTATCTGCAACATAATAGAGGGATTTACATTTCAGTGGTGGAAACAAAACCCACTGCACACTGCTGCCAACTAGCGGTCGGAGTCTAAATTGCTCCAAAAGAAAAGAAAATACACAATTGTTTGTATGTAAAATCTTCCTACAATTATCAGCTTTTGAATATCGATGTAATATCACATGAAAAAAATATCACCGTATATTGCCATATCGACATTTTCTCACATCCCTATCATTTACCTTTTACTTTAAGAAACGTGTTGGAATTCAGAGTAAATTTAAAAGTAGCCTTGTTGCTCATATTTTAAATTAGAAATGCTAATTTTAATTACGTGATTGGGAATCGGGCTAGATCGCATGTTTTTGAAAGGATCGGAATCGGGAGAAATAAATCGGATTTAACCTTTTAAAACAACAAACATGACTTTTTAAATTCATCCTGAGAGAGATTTTCAAAATGAACAAAACATAGCTCAGTTTTAATTTCACTAAGTGCCTCTACATCATCAATATTTGTTTCTTGTATGAAAACACCACAGTAACATCAGGCAAGGACTCAGACACTGTGCTGCTTTTAGCAAGCCTGCTAACACAGAGCTAACGTGTCTTTTCAGCAGAACTAAGATATCTGCATCTTGGTAGTATTTTAAACCAGACAGCAAAGGCAGAGCTACAGACACTTGTAATGTGTGCAAACTGGGTTTTCAACATGCTGGACAGGACACAACTCCATGATTTGCTGCCTTCAAACAAGCTACTTTCACTGTCGGCTTTTCCCTTCGAGCGTCAAAAAAGCAGACCACTGGTCTCGTCCAGTGTGAAATTATGCTGCTATCTTAGCATTTTTGCTGTTCGTAGACTATTTCTTGGTTTCCTAAAGTATCCTGGTTTAGCTGAATTGCTGCTGTGAACCGAGCATGGTCAGTTTTTTTATGGTGGCGCATCAGTGTTGAACACAGCACTGCCTTTTCCACCTGGTTAAATGCCCAGCTTGCACACTTGTTTTTTGTTGGTTTAAAGGGGCATTATGGAAGTTTGACAGCCAAAACATGTATAGAAATAATACATTTCTTCTTAACACATTCTCCTGCAGTTAGGGATGGGTACCTTTGACACTTGAATCGATCCGGTACTAATTCCCGGTACCTACGAATCGATACCGGTACTTAACGGTACCAATTTTCGATACTTTTGAGTGTTTATTATTTTAATTCTCTTTTATAATTAAATATATATTTTTCTCAATATATAACAATATTTGATAAATATCACGATAAATAACATTCAACTGTTTGTATTTTAACATCGTCCTTGTAGTTTTATAAGCTGATAATTAAACTGAAGCAAACATCTTTACTGTGAACTAAATTTACTGTGTATCTTCATTCCTTTTGCCGTCCTTTTTCATTTGATTTTTCCTACTGGGAAGTTAGAATTTCCGAGGAGAAAGTGAACGCACCATTAGCTGATAACAACGGTGGCAATGGAAGCTAACATATCAAGCTAACGTTATCTTTAACAGTTTATTTAACTGCTGGAGCAGATTAAAACGATGATGCCTCACACTTAGATCGTTGTCGCTGGTTTCATATTCACCCAATCACCCGTCACATTTAGTAAAGTGAAGCCAAACTTTAGAGCGCGTTCATGTTCATCTAGTCGGAAATTCGGAGTTCCGAGGAGAGAGCGAACGCACCGTTAGCGAAACGGAAGCTAACATATCAAGGTAACGTTATCTTAAACATTTTATTTACCTACCGGAGCAGATTAAGATGATGACTCACTTAGATCGTTGTCTGTCGCTGGTTTCATCATCACCCAGTTACCCGTCACATTTAGTGAAGTGGACCCAAGCGTTAGCGTGCGTTCTTCTTCCTACCATGCTGCTCTGTTTACAACTCGCTCTCAGGGACCGACGACATAACGCTCTTGCGCATGCGCAGCTTTCTTGGCAAGTTCTCGTTATGAAGGACGGGTACTGTAACGAGGCACCGTTTGAAATGACGTGAATCGGTGCTCGGTCGGTACTGTGGAATTCGGTCGCTACCTTAAAAAGTACCGAATTCGGTACCCATCCCTACCTGCAATGCTCCGGTCCTGTAGAATGAGCCCTGAAATTTTTACTGGTATTGCCTGTTTTTCTGTAAAATCGCAGAAAAAGAGAGCTGCTCGGGTCGAGCAGGCTGCTTCACGCGCGTTCACGCTCAGGCATAGCCAGCACCGTTCTTTGAACGTTGTTTTAGCTGTGATCAAGGATATAAATGCTACAAATACAATAGGTGCCACTGGTGATTTAGCTCGCCTAGAAAAATTTCGGGCTTTCGTGCATAAGACCCAGGTTCGATTCCGGCTGTGAACATGGTTGTTTCAGAATTTCTTTTTTACATTAATGCTATATTTTTTACAGTAAGATGCCCACATTTTTCTTTGAGACTCGCCGAACGGCATTGAATTCACAGATAAAAAAGATGTGGGTTCAACTTTCATTTTGGAACACTTTTTCAATCAAGGGAAGGGAATGATCTGAGCATGCAGGAGGACTGACCCATCATAAACCTTTGTCGGCTGTGCTGAAGAGAAAGGTACAGAACCAAATTATTTAATTAATTAGCTGCGTGTTCTCCTGTCCTCTGTCCTCTGGGCCGCACACACACACTCACGCACGCACGCACGCACACACACACACACTCACGCACGCACGCACGCACACACACACACACACACACACCTAGCTGGAGGAGGACATAAACACACACACACACACCTAGCTGGATGAGGACATAAACACACACACACACACACACACACACACACACACACACACACCTAGCTGGAGGAGGACATAAACACACACACACACCTAGCTGGATGAGGACATAAACACACACACACACACACACACACACACACACACACACACACACACACACACACACCTAGCTGGAGGAGGACATAAACACACACACACACCTAGCTGGATGAGGACATAAACACACACACACACCTAGCTGGATGAGGACATAAACACACACACACACACACACACACACACACACACACACACACACACACACACACACACACACACCTAGCTGGATGAGGACATAAACACACACACACACACACACACACACACACACACACACACACACACACACACACACACACACACGGGACTGTCAGCTCTCACACCTCTGTCAAGCTGACGTCAGCTTCACAGAGCTTCGTCTCAGCTGTTATTTTCGTTAAGGAGTGTGCACGCACAGCATGCTCGTGCACGAGCCTCCTATTGAAGCTGCCGTTACGCTTTTGGCCTGAGGGGGCAATCGCGAGCATAAAAATTCAAAACTCTGTAAAGTTCCTTTAAATACATCTGGATTACAGACAACTACGCCCTGTGTTATTTAACTAGACTTACGCCGTTAAGAACACGGATGTAGAGGAACTTGTTGAATAGGAACTTGGGAATTGTTTTCCGTTTGGAAATCTCAGGATGAATGTAAAAAGTCATGTTTGTTGTTTTATATGGTTAAATCAGAGCATCCCTAATTTAAGATACAATCTCTCATATTCTAAATCTGGATATTACAAGGAGCTGCATCTGCACTTGGTGCTACAGTCATTCTGCGGTCTACGGTCTTTTGTTTGATCACGTCGTCCTTGCTGAAGCCATAATGTTGTCAAACGCCGTGGGCTGGGCAGCAAGCGGCGCTGACCAGAGAGCAGCCGCGGACAGCCACGAGTAGTGGATGAAGCAGAGCTACGAGCTGCCAACAGCCTGCTGCTTCCATAATTGAACCAATCTCCATTTCCTCATGTTTCCTTTGTTACAGCCTGGGTGGGCTGGGGTCATGTGACTCATAGCTCTGACGTGGCCTCTCCTAGTCTGTCTCAAGTCGTGGACATCAGCAACCTAGTCACAATTTTTCCTTTTTTAAATACCGTACATATCAACATGGGCAAAATGACGTCGGTAAGAAACAGAAACTTCTGCAATGCTAAAATTCAGGTTTACCGCCCAGCCCTAGTGTGTAAAACTGGATTGAATCCTACACCTTAAACTTTATTATGTCCTTGTTATGCTATGATGCAAAGTTACATGACTTTATAATGAATGTGTTGGTAGGAGCGAGTACTGTGCAGAGGTACCACCAAGAGAAGTATTTCATCTTTGCCCTGACACCACAGCAAGTTCGAGAAGTGTGCATTTCCCGGTAGGTCTGTCTGGTGTACATTATCAGTCATTTCTGATCTAAAGAGTTAAAGGAGCCATATTGTAACTTTTTACCGTCTTAATTGTTATTTCCTCATGAGTAATACGTTTTTGGCTGCATTCATTCATTTTCTGGTCTCAGCTGGAAATTTTCAGAGTATTTGGAACGGCCTGCAGAAGCCTTGATGGAAACAAGCTGGTTTTCCAGGAGTACTACTCAGAGTAACTCGGACAGGTTCAGCTCGGCCCGACCGCTGTTCCCAAGGGCACGGTTCGGTATGCTCCCTCTACATTCTTCCCTATTTTTAGTCCCTGCTCCATTGAGGTTCATGCCAAGGTTGAATCAAGCGGGCACCGTGACTCTGGCCACCAGTTGGCTTGCACCCACTTCCTGTCACGGACGTGGCATGGGAACAAAACTCCACTCAGATGGGCTGATTCAAACCACGCTGTACGGAGCTGTTTCAGGCTGAGTAGTGCTCCGGGAAAACTAGCTCAAGTGTGTCATCAGGCCCTGCTCCACCCCCTGAAGCTAGTCTCAGACATGGAACCTTCCTCCCCTGGAAATGGGTCTCTAACGCCCACTTTCTCATAGTTGTGGGCATAGAGCGGTTGATTTCATGGTGCACCTTTGTGTCACAGATGACTGCTTTAAACCTCCACCAGTACCAAAGTGGATATTCTGAATAATTACTCATGCATTGGTGACGAAACACTGCTGTTCAACCATGAGTCCTGTCCACAAAGATGCACGTAAGGGCCGGCTCAGGACATGCATGTTAAGCGACTATTGACTTGTAACGGACTCGGTGGTCCAGCGGTTCGAGTGACTGACTGGTATATTGTTTTGCACCTGTTTGATTCCCAGTCTGGGCAGGGTTAGGGTTAGGGTTCCCTTCCACTGGAAACTGTTTCAAATAAAAGGACTAATCTGTTAGTTTATGTAGCCAGTGTGAGTCCATGTGAGCTGAACAGAGTAAATCAACTAAATGCTGCTTGGAAACGACCAGATTCAAATATCTTTAGACACACAAAAGCTGAAAATGCTTTTCATGCTGCTTGAGCTTGAACAAATTACTGCAGACACCGGGAGTCGGACGGCGTCAGCACATGGCAAAATGGTACAGGAGGCAGGCGCTTAAACCGCTGGACTACCGAGGCCAATGCAACAGTTAAATGGTTTGTCAGAGCTGGTGTGGGCGGAGCTCTACTGAAACTAACCATCTTATTTCCAGGTATAAATTCAGGCTCATGAAAAGAACTGCTGTCTAAGATAAATGGCATCTGAATACTGCCAGCCGTAATATTTTATCGCACATTGTGCCTAAAATAGCAGGATGTGGCTCCTTTAAATCAAATGCAGCTGTGCCTTCTTCTTTCTGAGGGTGTTTTACCTCTTATGGAAGAGTAACGGTTTTACTGAAGTCCTTTAGATAAGAGGCAAAACATTCCCTCCTTTGGATTAAAGCCGTTGACCTTGTGTGTTCCCAGGGACTTCCTCCCATGTGGCAGAAGAGACTATATGGTTCAGATTCAACTGAGGTGAGGGCTTTTACAACAAAGAGGATCAGAACTTAAACTGGTAGATTAGGTCAGGCCTACAGGCAGCCTGGGAGAGTTGTTGGTTCACTTAAACTGATTTTAAACCAAAACCTTCCATCAGATAAACTCAAATGTCATTTTATTTTCTTGGACAAAAGATGAGTTGTGTAAACTAAGGTGCAGTGGCCATTGTTTCTGTGCACACGTTACATAAAATAACAACAGCCTCAGAGGTTAACTGTGCGCTTGATCCTGCTGTGACTTTAGGCTAAAACGTTTCCCTTGTGTTTTCAGATTCTGCCTGTCAGAGACCAGTTGTCCTCAGGAGGACAACTACCCCAACAGTCTTTGTGTAAAGGTCAATGGAAAACTGTTCCCTCTGCCTGTAAGTCCTGCATCCTGTCTACAAAACAGCAACATCTCTGTCTGGTTCTTCTGAAGCAGAAGGTCCTCCAAAGCATGCAGCTGCTGAGACCTGGGCCCTCATTCATCAAGCTGTCCTGTTTTCCTTTCTACTAATGAAATTTACAACGTTCAGTCAAAATCCTGATTTATGAAACGTGCAGAGGCCTCTCGTACGCACGGTCCTTCGCACTCGTCTGATGATGAATCCCACCTGTGCGTACCCAGGTGCTCGTGTCCGTTCTCATTCATTTACATATAGAAACACCCTCAAGTAACCATATTTGGTCACGTTATGTCCTCAGCAGGTGATTGGATTCCCTGGGTCCCCCCCTCAAAAAAAACCCCAAAAACTTTATTGACAGCGAGATGGAGACACTGGCTGTTAAAAGTGCAAAAGAACCAAACAAGCTGCAGAGGTTATAAACGCGCTCGAGACAGTGGAATCTGATAAACCGTAGAGTAACGGGTTCGTTCTGGCTGGCGTTAGCTTTATTAGGATATGTTGTCTGAGAGTGCAGCCTCTGGGCTGTCATTCAGTCTGGTTACCTTGGCAACGCAGCGTGTATGAACAGGGAGCGGAGGAGGTTCTGGGGGGTTCTCATAGTAATGAAATAAAATATGAACTGGAATCGGTTTTGTGAGGTTTGTCTGTTGCACCACAATGGTCCCAAATCCCAGCACAGCTCCAGACGGATCTCCTTTGGGGAGATTGGTGCACTCACGGAGAACGCGTTACCTCCAGAGTGCACGCTCTGCCAAATCAGCCATGATGATGTCAGATTCCCGTCGGTCACATGTGTCTTTTAGTGTTGTGTGAAAAAGCAGTTTTTCCACTGACTTAATTATTTATTGAGTAAAAACCTTTATGGATGAGGAACATGTGTGGATGACTGAGACCTTCAGTACTGCGGTTCTCTTGTTCTACCACTAGATCGCATGGTCAGAGCTGTTCTCATATTTAAGAACATTTCTACACACAAGTACAAACTGGTAAATACTGCACAATGTGTAAAATCTGTCCTACGCACGAAATACACACAGATCTGTTCGTAAGTACGGTTGATAAATGAGGGCTCTGGATTGTGGACTTCTGTTTTAGAATAGCCAAAGAAAACCAAGGCAGTCTGAAATGTTCCATTAAGGCTAAGACTTTTCTGCCTGCAGGGTTATGCACCACCCCCAAAGAATGGTGTTGAACAGAAAAGACCAGGGAGACCACTCAACATTACCTCCCTTGTTAGACTCTCGTCTGCTGTACCCAATCAGATTTCAGTGACGTGGGCACATGAAATGGGAAAGGTGAGAACTGAAGGCCTCATTGGTTTCTGCTGAGTTGTTGGGGTGGGGTTCGGGGGGCCACAAAAATGGGGTCTGGCCCATTGAGTACCGCTGGTTTGGAATGAAGCAAATGACAACAAATATCTCAAGAATATTCAGTCAAACACAGCTGGACTTGTTTATATGTCTTTGAATAAGTCTGAATTATTATCCAAGAGGCTTCATCAGTTCATTTTCAAGATCAGGCTCAAAGTAGTTAAGTTAAAAAATAATGTACGTTAAAAGTCTGTGCTGTGAAAAGTAATATGGGGTGGCGGTGGTGTTCGATTGCTTTTACTTCAGATACCTCAGACTGAGATGTAGGAGAATATTCAAACGACAATGTAGAGTAAATGACGGGTTCTAAGTATACCAAAATAAGAACATCTCACCTACAACCACAATATCTCTGCCTTTGAAACAGTTGATGACATCTGCCCTTTGCTCTGCCCAGCATTCCTTAATGGTGTCCACACAGTAGGTGTCCTGGATGGCATAAAACCACCCACCATTGTCCATCCCCAGGTTCATGAACTCCAACAAGAGGGCAATTTTGCTGTAGTTGCTTCCAGAGAGCAGAATATTATGGACTCTGTTGGACAGATAACATCAGGAATGAAGCCAGCTGTCGCAGCTAGTCTTCATAAAGAATGAAGGCACGCCTCCCAATGAGATCTTCGTCACATTGCACATCTCCTGTCAGAGATGGTAATGAATCACAAAGGTACTATTTAGAGGCCGGTCAAAAGAAGTTCTTATTTGCAACTTTACATATACATTTATCTCTCCCAAGTTAGCAGATTTAACCAAACTAAATTACATCCCACTTTTAAAGAAAGTGGAAGATGATCTTGCAAGATGGAAATCCTTACCAATATCACTCATGGGGAGGGATGCTACAGTTAAAATGATGGTCTTACCCACAATAAATTACTTATTTTCAATGATCTCAAACAAACCTCCATCTGACTGGTTTAGGTCTCTGGACTCCTCAATCACTAAATTCCTTTGGCAGGATAAACCTCCACGAATGAGCTTAAAACGCTTCAGAAGATCAAAGATAGAGGAGGACTGGATCTACCCAACTTTTATTATTATTTCTTAGCCAACAGGCTGCAATATATACCAAGATGGTTGCAGCAATGTATGTGTCAGGTGGAGTCTTGGACTCCTCCCCTCTCCTGGGACTTCTTGTGCTACTACACATCTTCGTCTACCCTCCCCCTGCCACATTTGGCGTGGAGTGTGGTGCCAATGCATGAGTGTTTGCGGCTCCCGGGTCATGGGGTTTAATATTTTTGGAGTCTGCCTGATTGATCCCAGTGGCTGCCTGGTGGGATCTGAGTCCCTGGGCTATGTTGGATCCCGGCGGGGATGGTCGCTCCCTGGGTCCCGGGTTGCTGGGTTCCGGGCTCAGCTGGCTTGGGGGTGGGAGGCTGCGGGCGAGCCTGTGGGCTTGCCGCTGATATCTTCCGGGACTCTGCCGGCTGCTGGTTGTGGGCCCCCGGGGCGCTCCTCTGCGCCTCTCGAGAGCGGGCTGGGGCTTTTCTGGTTACAGTCTCCCTGGGGTCCCTGCGCTCTGGGGCAGCTCCTGGATCTCTGGGACTTGGAGCTCCCTCTGTCTTCTACACATCTTTGGGGGGCAGATCTGTGGTCCCTCACACTCTCTATTGGATGCTCCTATAGAGAAACCTTACATAAACAAGCGTTTGTACACACACAGGTGCTCACATGGTGCTCTCACAAGTATGGACTTGGGCACGTTCAACACATGTCCGTCAAAATCCAAAAACCTTTTTCATCCAAGGTTTTAAGACACATTTACACATGCTGTTCAAACAAATTTTGCCTCTGGCTGATATCTTTAAATGAGTGAGTGAACCCACTACCAAGGATGAACTCTAACTTTAAAAATCAGCTGCTCTAAATAAGCATGAAGGTCAGAGAGGAGCTCTAGGATGGACATGGATAAAGGAACTGTAATGTAGAGGTAAAGTAGGGCAGGGCCAACGTTAGCAGCTGTCATACGGTCCATTTGACATGTTTGACTTTCATTTAGCGTGTTATGTGACAGGTTAGAGCACCGTCTCATGTTAGAGTTTTGTCATGAGAACATTGAGATACCTCACACACTGATGGCATCTAAAAATGAACATTTTTCTTTCAAAATAAAGAATAATTTTAATCACAGTTGAAACGTACAATCCTAGAAAAACCTCGTCCAATCAATGTGCACGCCCTGTTCTCACTGATTGGATAGAAATCCTTCCATCAAACTGTGTGTGTGTCCGTGTGTGTGCGTGCACACACGAGCGTGTTGTGAACTGGTGTTGTGGTTTTGCACTGATGTAACCATCTTTACGCTGACAATAATGTGACTAAGTAACTTTTACGTTGAGTACATTTTATTTACGATACTTTTCACTTTTACTTGAGTAAAAATTTAGGCAAGTACCTTTACTTGTACTTGAGTAAAAATTATCAAAGTACTGGTACTCGTACGTAAGTAGGAAATTTTAGTACTCTTTCCACCTCTGGTGATTTATTATCGTGTGATTGTTCAGTAAAACAATGTTGATTTTATGTTTCTTCAAGTTGACGCAGTGACAGCTTGCTCTTGTTGTATTGTTGTGTGTTGTTTTTCTCTTTCTGCAGCTCTAGAAGCAGACTCTTGTTCATCATTGATTTGTTTTTTGTGGACCCCCCAATCCCCCATCCTCTGTCTCCGTGTCTGGCCGGAATTATAAAGCATTCAAAAACAATAACAATAAAGTTTTAAGTATCAGGCGTGACTAGGGTGGAGCATCGATTGGAACCGGTTCCAACTGTTAGTTTTTCCCGGAATCGTTCAAAGTTTTTTATTTCGATTCCTAGAATGCCGACCGGAAGAGGAATCCGCGGCCGATCTCCGTGAAAAATAAACGTGATCTGCAAATTGTGATCAACGCTTTTCAGAGCAGAGAGAGAGAGAGAGAGAGAGAGAGAGAGAGAGAGAGAGAGAGAGAGAGAGAGGGAGAGGGAGAGGGAGAGGGAGAGGGAGAGGGAGAGGGAGAGGGAGAGGGAGAGGGAGAGAGAGAGAGAGAGAGAGAGAGAGAGAGAGAGAGAGAAGGCTAAACAATAACCTGTAGAATAATTAAAGTCATCATGCTAGAGCAGCTTCTCTGTGGTGGACCACACCAGCTTCTGCCACCATAAATAATAATAATAAATCACACACAACGTTGTGAACATTTTAATTTCCTTTCTGAACTATTTCTGTTGAGAGTTTTAATGTTTAAAATCTGTTAGATTGTTACGGACAGCAGCTACATTTACAGGTGCTGGCCAGTAAATTAGAATATCATCAAAAGGTTGAAAATATTTCAGTAATTCCATTCAAAACGTGAAACTTGTACATTATATTCATGCAATGCACACAGACCAATGTATTTCCAATGTTCATTACATTTAAATTTGATATTCATAAGTGACAACTAATGAAAACTCCAAATTTGGTATCTCAAAAAATTAGAATATTCTGAAAAGGCTGAATATAGAAGACACCTGCTGCCACTCTAATCAGCTGATTTACTCAAAACACCTGCAAAGGCCTTTAAAAGGTCCCTCAGTCTTGTTTTGAAGGCACCACAATCATGGGGAAGACTTCTGACTTAACAGCTGTCCAAAAGACAATCATTGACACCTTGCACAAGGAGGGCAAGACACAAAAGGTGATTGCTAAAGAAGCTGGCTGTTCGCAGAGCTCTGTGTCCAAGCACATTAACAGACAGGCGAAGGGACGGAAAAAATGTGGTAGAAAAAAGTGTACAAGCTCTAGGGATAACCGCACCCTGCAGAGAATTGTGACGACAAACCCATTCAAAAATGTGGGGGAGATCCACAAAGAGTGGACTGCAGCTGGAGTCAGCGCTTCAAGAACCACCACGAGGAGACTCATGAAAGACATGGGATTCAGGTGTCGCATTCCGTGTGTCAAGCCACTCTTGAACAAGAAACAGCGCAAGAAGCGTCTCGCCTGGGCCAAGGACAAAAAGGACTGGACTGATGCTGAGTGGTCCAAAGTTATGTTTTCTGATGAAAGCAAGTTCTGCATTTCCTTTGGAAATCAAGGACCCAGAGTCTGGAGGAAGAGCGGAGAAGCACAGAATCCACGTTGCATGAGGTCCAGTGTAAAGTTTCCACCGTCAGTGATGGTGTGGGGTGCCATGTCATCTGCCGGTGTTGGCCCACTCTGTTTCCTGAGGTCCAGGGTCAATGCAGCCGTCTACCAGGAAGTTTTAGAGCACTTCATGCTTCCTGCTGCTGACCAACTTTATGGGGATGCAGACTTCACCTTTCAACAGGACTTGGCACCTGCACACAGTGCCAAAACCACCAGCACCTGGTTCAAGGACCATGGTATCCCTGTCCTTGATTGGCCAGCAAACTCGCCTGACCTTAACCCCATAGAAAATCTATGGGGTATTGTGAAGCGGAGGATGCAATACGCTAGACCCAACAATGCAGAGGAGCTGAAGACGACTATCAGAGCAACCTGGGCTCTCATAACACCTGAGCAGTGCCACAGACTGATCGAGTCCATGCCACGCCGCATTACTGCAGTTATTGAGGCAAAAGGAGCCCCGACTAAGTATTGAGTGCTATACATGCACATTCTTTTCATGTTCATTCTTTTCAGTTGGCCAACATTAGAGAAACAAACATTTTTTCATTGGCCTTTAGAATATTCTAATTTCCTGAGATACCAGATTTGATGTTTTCATTGGTTGTCACCTATAAATATCAAAATTAAACGTAATAAACATCGGAAATACATTGGTCTGTGTGCATTGCATGAATATAATGTACAAGTTTCACGTTTTGAATGGAATTACTGAAATATTTTCAACCTTTTGATGATATTCTAATTTACTGGCCAGCACCTGTAAGTTTCACTTCCTGTTGTGACTGAATGCTGCTGCAGCATGGAGGTGTAGTTCTCA